GAAAATGTGTTGGAAGGATTGAAAACAGCATTAGAGAGAGGGGCAAATCAAGAGGGATTCAGGAGCAAGAAAACCAACTAGTGGAATTCTGCTCTGGATGGCTGAATTCTGTAAGGCAGCTTTTGGAACAGAGAGAATCTTCAGAAGGAAGAATGAGCTAAGCATACAGCGAGAAACAGGAGTTGGGGATACAATGGGGTCACGTGTGGGTTTCCCTACAGCTCCGTGACTCCATGTTCGAGTCTTCTTCTGCAACCCAGCTACATCCATTGGCATTAAAGCAATGGGTTTGAAGTACGAATTGCTGAAGAAAGTGAACTCATTTATTATTATTATTTTCTAAATGATGACTGGCATCTAAAGAAGAGATAGAAAACTGCCAGCAACATCTGTATGACATTTACCTTTATGATGTTTGTAAGTGATTTGCTATGATACCTCTCAATCCTCATTGAAACATGTGTGGAAGCATAACACACACCGGTCTGTCCACAGTCTAGTACATATCAGTACCACGCCCAGGACTCTCCATCCTCTGTCTTACCAACCAGGCCATAAGCTTCCTAGAGAGGGGCATGATGTTCTCTTTCTTCCCATTTCCCCATAGATCTGAGGCTCCTGTTAAACCCAGTGCTTCAAAGTGATCATCATGCCTTAGTATGTGAGTAGGGCTGGTTTGGAAAATCCTCTCATAAATACTCATATTCACAGGGGCTTAACTCCCCTATACGATATGATATAATATTTACATCCAATCCCATATAATTTAATTCCAAATTATTGTAGTGATTCCAGTGTCAATTCTGTGTGAATAGTCATTGTACTGTATTGTATTGCATTGCATTGTATTGGGACTAACTTCAAGGCTTCAAACATAAATATGTTCAACAAACTACATTTGTCTCTAATGTTTTTTTTTTTTTTTTTGTTTTTTGTTTTGTTTTGTTTTGTTTTTCGAGACAGGGTTTCTCTGGGTAGCTTTGCGCCTTTCCTGGAACTCACTTTGGAGACCAGGCTGGCCTCGAACTCACAGAGATCCGCTTGCCTCTACCTCCCGAGTGCTGGGATTAAAGGCGTGTGCCACCACCGCCCGGCCATCTCTAATGTTTTTATCTACGTGCATGGAGGGCCAACTAAGTGTGTTTGTGAAATCACTGAGTCCATGCACTGCATTCTAATATAAAGTATGGGAAGAATCAAGAAGCCAATGAACTGAAAATACAAGCTTCACCATCTTCTCAATCTGTAAGATAACTCAATACATACCCCAGATCAATGGCTACATAGGGGCTGATGGCATGTTCACCTTCATCTCCAGCCCAGGCTTGTAGTGTGGGCTTCATACTTTCCTTATCATTCGTAGTTACCAAGTCTGTGGCATTTCCATCTTAACATCACCAAACACTGATCTTCAAACATCTCAAGTACACCCTAACTTCCTCTTTTATTAGAGTAGATTATACAGGATGACACTTACTGTACAGTATGCCCAGGTGGAAAACTGAATAATTTTTGGCTCTTATTTCTTCCTTCCTTCCTCAAATAATAAGGAGGGGTATTGTGGGGGCATATGACAGTCTTTCAGCTTAAAGGTTTGACAAGCCTTAGACTCGAGATCTAACAGTTGTCTGGCCTCAAAAACGTTACCATCTTTTGGGCTATACACATTATTTATAAAATGAAACTATGAACGACAGTTTTTAAAGCTTTCTTTAGTAACCATATATGGAGTATACAGTGTATTCTTCTAATGCCCTGGGTACATGTTCTTACTGTGTCACAGACTACAGAGTGGCTAGGTAGTTCTAAATTCAGTGGAGAGAGAACTCCATTACTTCTCATTGATACTCTAAATTAACAGTTTGATGGATAATAGCATAATTTCCCTATAAAACTTTAACAATAGATGTAAATAAGAAACAGAGTAAACTACACAAGAAACAGTGCCAGACTAAGTAAGAATCTATTTTCTCAGTCTTCATCTATATGGCTTCTCTCTCCATTCCTCTCTGTCTCCATATATACATACATGTATACATACATATATATATGCATACATTTATATATACAATATACATGTAGTTATGCATGTAACTTTTCAAAAGCATTTCCAAAAAGGTAAAGAGTATAATATGGTGGAAAGACTATTCTACAATTTTCCTAGTGGGAGAAGAGAGCAAAGTAATTGGATGAGCATCTAAATCAGACAGAAACATGTCAGACAATAAAAAACACAGCTAATATGGAATGTTTGGTCTGGCTGGCTGGGGGGACGGGATAGTGGGAGCAGGCATGGCCAAGAATTGCATTTTAGTGACTCACTCGCTCCTACAAAAAACGGTGGCTGCTGAGAAGTACAATTTAAAAGAAAATACCTATAATAAAATCTGTGATGCCACACCAAAAATAACATTCTTAAAGATGGGGAAGCCCTCACTTTTACTCAGTAAGTAGAACCTACACAGAAATCACTGGGATGTACCTGAGGATCTCGGGAGGCTTGTGTGTGAGGGTGTTTGTTTGCTATTGGCTCCTCTTTTGGCCCAGTCAACAAACTGTTAGGTGCTACCTACAAACTTCGGCTGTAGCAGGCTATGACAGGGCTAAATTCACGTATCTAGGCAGGTGACAATCTGACAGGAATAAAGACAGTTAGACATATAAAAGGCCAGTATAAGGTACGATGTGCACCGAGTTGAGCATGATGCTGGGCAAGAGGAAAAATGCTCAGTCAATTCAGGGGTTCTTCAAGGTGAAGGAGTCAAAAGATCATCAAGCATTAGGGATTTTACCTGCAAGATGTCAGATGGGAAAAATGAAGAAACGAGGAAAATTAAAGTTGGATATGAAACAGCTCTAGGTGCAAGGCAGGATATGAAAATTTCAAAGTTAAAACATTTTAATCACATTTGTTTATTTGTGCATGAATATGTGTGGGAGCATGCTTGTCATCATATGTGTGTGGAGGCCAGATGGTTCATTTTGGGGGGAAATAGATTGGGATTCCCATAAGTTCAAATGAACTTTGACATATATGAGCATTCGTAATCTGCAATCCATCTATGATGGAGAGCATTTCTGTCTCCTGGTGAGGTTTGTTAGCATCCCTTTTGGGTCCTCTGCCTTTCTTCTATTATCTAATCAGGCTGATTTGCTGTCTGTCATTAAAGACTGGCTTAGCTTGTTCTAGGACTTTATAGAAAACAGGAAGTTTCAGATGAGTTTTTTCATTGTTAGCATAATAATTGTGAGATCCCATCATGCTTTTTTGCTGGGTCATATTTGATTTAATGATATAATTTGTCTATCCGGTCATTTACCTGAATCCATCATTACTTGAGTTGAGTCTAGTTTTTGGTTACCATGAAACTGCTATGAACATTCAAGAATATGTCCCTTTGTGGATGGACATTTTTTCTTTTCCTGAGTAAATGTCTAGGGGATGAGTTGACGGGTCACATGGCAAGTGTAGGGAGGTCTTTTTGGAAGTACTACCAACACTTTAAGCATTGTCATCAATGTATAAAAGTTCTGTTTTCCAGATAATGGCTATAAAAAGACTTAAAATCATGAAAAATATAATTGCTAAATCACCACTAAAATCTAAGCACATGGTAAGAGAAATGATAATCAAGAGGCCAGGAAAATGTATTAGTTATAAAACTAGAGACTATCTTTCTGAGAGTGATATTTGACAGAAGAAATTCAGACACCATTTTAAAAACAATAGTTGGGAACTCTCTGATGAGACCCTGCTACAATCTATGAAAACACCTTTGCCTCTGAAGCTACTTCCTTAGCTATGAAATGGAATTCAAGTTATGGTTATATGGTTAAGAACACACATCCCTGAATTCATTTTCATTCTGGAAATGCCCAGGACAGCCTCATTGAAAATATACTTTGTTCCCACTGCTGAAGGGAAGAGTTGAAACAAACTAGAAAAGAAATAATAAATCTATGATATGTACTTAGAACAATTATTAGAAAAAGAGGCCATGAATTTGAAACTGAGCTAGGAGGGGTATGTAGGAGGGCTTGGAGGGAAGGGAGAGTGGGGGTGAGGGTTGGATAATGTATTTATAGTCTCAAAAAGTAAAAGAAATGGTAAAAAAAAAAACCCACCATTCCTGGAATATTAAAACAAAATTAGTTCTTGTTATGAAATAATCCCATTTGAGAGTTCAAAAAAAATGGCCATTGAAGCTAAAAGTCAAAACTTTCAGGCTGTGAGTTCAGTACATCTGGGTTTAGGTCAATATGTCATATATATCAAATGAAAGATGTCCTGTGAATTTTCATGATAAACAGCTACTCAAAACAAAACACCCCATAAAATCATGTTCTGAAAGAGGACTGTTTATGTTTCTCTGTGGAAACTTTTGTCCTGCTGATAACCCAAATGCATGACTTGAGCCATCTGCCTCTCTGCTCATGCTGACGAGAACAGTGTAAACACTGTTTTTATAGCAGTGGGATGGTTTTTGGGGGGCTGCTGCTCCTTATCAACATTTTAATATGGCATAGCTGAGATAACTGTGGTTCAAACTGAGGCATATTTTTAAGAAGGGCTCCACAGACATCAAGATTGCTAAGGATGTAGGCTTATAGAGCTAGGCACTGGGACAATTATATAGGCTATCAAGAGGATAATAAGATTCATCAACTACAGATTTTCAACTTTACTTAAGAGCTACACATATAACCAGAGAGTTTTAATTAGGAGACAGTGAGATACAAATAGGAAGAAAAAAAAGACAGGAGACTTCTAAAGATTCAACCCTGCCTGCTGAGTTTCACTCTAGATATGTGAGCTCTCCAAATCTTGGTTTTATTGTCCATATGTTGATCTTAAAGGATTTCTATGACTCTCGGTTATCTATATTCCAGATCGTATGTCCAGGACTTGTGAATATGACCCCATATGGGAAAAGCATTCTTACATGTGGAACTAAGAATTTTGAGAAATAATTCTAGATTTTCTGAGAGCCCTGCAACGTGTGTGGGTATAACAGATACAGAGAAGAAAAGGGCACTGTAGACAAAGCCATGTGTAGACAGAAGGTAGGTGGAATCGTTTAACTATAGCAAGGGCCAACCAGATTCAGGGGAGGCTGGAAGGAGCAAGGGGAGACCCTCATTAGCAGGCATCTCATTCTGAAGACATCTTGATTATGTAATCCAGATCTGGAAAAATAGTTTTTTTACTGTTTTAAGTCACAAAGTTTTGATGACTTGCTATGGTAGTCTTAGAAACTAATAAAAAAAGAGACCTCGCAAAGCTCTAGTAGGGAGTATCAAAGGTGCTGTGCAGAAGTGGGTGATCATTTAGCTAATGCTAGCTACTGTGGTAATAATATATGCTCTTTTAACACATATGCTTGAATTGTGGAAATCTTAGTTAAAAGTAACCACCTTCAAAACATATACAGTGCTCTAAAACAATTATAGCTGTGACTGGATTTTTGAGTGTGAAAAATACTTCCATCTCAGGGGCTAATTATCCAAAAAATATTTCCATTCCCAAATTCCTAGAATTTATGGATGAAATGTTTTCAGTTGTTGAGTTATATACTTGATAAATGATATTTACTGCTGTGTTATGACCCTGTCATCTACAAATGTATTGGTCATATTGAGAACTGTTTTGGGGTGAATGGGACCCATAGACCACAGGTTGGACATACCTAGTATAAAGATCATGTGAATCTGGTTTTCTTGACTGCTAATATGGAACTCACTTGTAGGGCTACATTTATTGAAGACTTCAAAAGAGTAAGCTAATGTGTTAATGTTGTGAAACAACACTAAAATGGAATCAACAGAGTTAAGCTTCATAAGTGCAAGCCAGTTAACACCCAAAATTCTGGAGATGAAGGTAGGAGAAAATGGTCCCATTCTCTAATCTTTCTGTGGGAAAAATCTAAGTAACTCAGTTATCTGCAGACAAATCCATTCATCACACAGAGAAAAGGTAAATGGTAATTCCAGGACCAAAGAAGCAAAGAGAGGTACTTCTGTGATGCACAAGGGAGGTGTTTCTGCAAAGCACATAGGTTCATGAGTAAACTGAGAAATCAGAAACCATTTTAAAATCAAAATGCATTCTCCTGTTAGGTTGAAAATTTTGCCCTTGTGGGTAGACTGGTAAGTCTGGACCCTTTGGAGACTTTTAAGCATTCCAAAGTGCCTCCAATGAATGTAGAATGCCAAGAATGTTCACATATTTGGTATTTAAAATTCTAGACTTGCATTTGCTAATCCAATTAAGTCTAGCTTTGCCAGACACAGGGGCTGAAAGTACATTTCAAATTATGTAGTTGAAACAGAAAGACTCAAAGAATTTGCATGAAGAAAAACCCTTTGCAATTTCACAATACCTATTTCTACAATGACTGCAAATATTTAAAGTCACTAGCATTCTTTGAAAATGATTGCTAGTGTCTTCAAAGTCTCTCCTGAACCTCGAACTTACATGAAACCAAGAATGGGGGTAGGAAACTTTTAGAGTTGAGATTATTTTCAAGATAACTTTATACTGCAGTTAGCATTTATACATCCATACTGTTCTCAGAAACATTCATCTTAAAATTTCCACTTAATTAAATCATTCAATTATTTTATTCTTTTTTTTTATAATCCCAATGATGGTTTTAACTCAAATAAATACTGCATATATTTCCTCACCTCAAGAACACTGTAGGCTGCTTAAAAGGACATCCTTTGTCATTGTTTCATCTGGACACCAGCATCGTTGTGACAGATCCCTACTGGAGCTGTGCCGATTTTGATTCATTCATCTCCAGTGTAGTGTTTTTATGCTAGCAAATATTATTTTAAACTCTTGTGTCATCTAGCCTACAGTACATCGTAGGTAGAAATTGGAGCTCTTTCAAGGGAAGCCTCACACGAGTGTGCAAAGATGGGTTGGTATCTTGAAATCCTAAAGATGTCTCTTGTGGTTTTATATAGGGGACTTTAGTGAGCACTCTTCCCTTGAGCACTGTCTCAGTCCCCGCTGTCCAACAGAGGGAAGAAAGCATCCTGCGATGACAAACATCATAAAGCAAACCGTATTTAAACAGAGCAAAGCAAAACAAAACAAATAGGAAGTAGCAACCATGCCCCCAATACACATGAAAAACTAAAGGAGCTAAGATATTATATACTGGACTAATAAATTTAAAGTTACTAAGAGCAGATGTATTTATAGTGGTAAATGGGGACAGGGGAAAGAGAAGGGAGAAAATTCAAGAGGAGAACAGAAATACACAAGATTAAGGTAGGAAAACAAGGCACATACAAAACAAAACGACTTGAAACAAAAGTCAGTGGTTTATTCTTACTGACAAGATGGAGGATAGGGATGTTTCCTCTTTTTTTTTTTTTTTTTTTTATCTTCCAAGATTCTCAGTCTTGGAGATTCATTTTGAGGGAACAGAGAGCTGTAAAGGGTACAGACTGGTCAGTCCAGAAACAACTATATGAAGGCCTTTCCTTGCTTAGCTTTTCCTGGCATGCATTAGTTAAGAAGAGGACCTCTGTCAGGATGAATTTATGCCTATCATCTCGCTAGACGCCCCCCCCCCCCCCGCCCCAGAAATGTTGTAGATGCAGAAGCTTCCCCAAGCTTCTCATACTGGCCAAGCCTGTAGAACATCCAGCTGAATGGTCCGTTGCTTAGGAGGCCCTCTGACAATGTGTGATAGATAAGGACCACGTCAAGCGGTAGCCACACTGGCTTTTGCTACCAAAGGTCTCTGGGGTTCTGAAGATTGGAGACTTTCCAAAGAACAATCTGCACTGGGTACCAAGCAACCCTGCCCACCCAGCCATACTGGTCCACTCTTAGCACCTGCTTATGTCCACATTCAGGTCTCACTGCTGCTCCCACATGGAAGCATCTTCCACATTCCACCCCACAACACAGGCCGCCATTTTCACCATATAGACACAAATTTGTGGATCTGTGTCCAATTTATAAACAGTTTCCTGGACACCAGTTGAGTCTCAGAGTGATTGCTCAGTTAGATGGTGAAGTGGAGAAGTCATTGGGACTTACGATATAAAAATTCAGGAGCCTCTCTCATCTCCCCCATCTTTGGATGGCTCCTCTTCCTGACACCAGTGAGGTAGGACCAAGCCCCTCCCCTCTGCGTCAAGGGAGAGCAAGGTGTCCAACCATGGGTAATGGGCTCCAGAAAGCCAGCTCATGCACCAGGGATAGATCCTGATCCCACTGCCGGCCCCTCAAACAGACCAAGCTACACAACTGTCTCCCATATGCAGAGGGTTTAGTTCGGTCTCATGCAGGTTCCACATCTGTTGGTCTAAAGTTCGTGAGTTCCTATAAGCTTGGTTCAGTTGTCACTGAATATTTCCCCGTCATGATCTTGACTCCCCTTGCTCATATAATCCCTCTTCCCTCTCTTCGACTGGGCTCCCGGGAACTCAGCCTGGTGCTTGGTCGTGGACCTCTGCATCTGCTTCCATCAGTTACTGATGAAGGCTCTATGATGACACTTAGGGTATTTACCAATCTGATTACCAGGGTAGGCCAGTTCAGGCACCCGCTCCACTATTGCTACCTAGTAGTCTAATATGGGGTCTTGTGGGTTCCTGGGAATTTCCCTAGCACCATCTCATGTCATGGTTTAAATGTAAAATGTTCCATGATCATGAGTCTGAACATCTGGGTAGTAGCATCTTAGGAAATTGTGCAACCTTTACAGTGAGGCTTGGGTAGAGAAGCTGGGTCACTGGCGCCTTGAGGTTTACAGACCATCCCTACTTCTGTCCAGTACTGGCCTCTTGTTTAATGGGATGTAACAAACCCAGAGGCAAGCTGCTGCCAACACAGCCTGGCGCCCAGGCACAGTGCCTCCTGCACAATGAAACTATACGATAAAACAATCCCTGCTCTGCTTAAGCTCCTTCTGTGAGATGTTCGGCAGCAGCTACAAGAAAACTAATCAATTCATCGAGTTTCCATGACAATGTCTTAACCCTTAACTCTAAACCTTGAAGACTTCACTATTTATCTGGGAATGCTAAGGGAAATAAAACAATTCTGATGCTAAATATCAAATCTGCATTGCCATCTGTCTCAAGACAGATTTACATTTTAATATAGTATCTTTTAAAATCCAATTCGTCATATTCTGAAAAATTGGTTAAATACGGTCATTGAGTAAATTTTCTGATTATTTCTTGCTGTGTAATTAATCATCCATAACTAAATAACCCAATAAACAAAAGTATATATATTATTACCTTTCATTGAGCTACTGATTGGCTGTACTCAGTCATAAAGTTTTGATTTTTCATGTGGCTATATTCAAATATTAGCAAGGGCAGTAGTCATCTTTCAAGTCTGGCTAGGATGACTATATAGATGCCTACAGAGTAGCTTTGCCATGCAATCCAGAATTTCTTACAGCATGATCTGTAAGTTCCAAGAGACAGCATAACAAAAGAGAATCAGGTAGAAGTCACAGCATCATGTGTTCATGTGGCAGTATTTCTGTTCTAGTTTATGAATTATGAACAGCCCTTATTAAGGGGAGAGGAATTAGATTCTGTCTTCTGATGGGAAGAATACTAAAAGTACAGGCTATATTTAAAAACCACCCTAGTGGTAACTTTCTCTTGAATAAATTTTGTGTGCAAAAGTGAAATTAAGCCTCAAAAAATGAGTACCACACAGAGATCCAGAAATACCACTTCAAAGAATTCTTGTAATCATCGGTATCTGCGAATGTTAAATCTGTATTTTCCACGAGTTTCCTACATCTGAAACTGCAATTCTAACAAGTTGTTCTAGTCTCATTCTTCATGTATCTTCTCTTCCCTTTGCTCCTGTTGGGAGGTGAGATGGCAGCCTGAACACGGGCAGTGACCCTGGAAGAAAGACAATGGGTAGGCCCCGAGGAAGTGAGACAGTTCGATGACTCTTCACAGAGGAAGTCAAGCATGCTAGCAAAAATCCTGAGAGTAACCTATGCCAGACTTTTCACTATTACAGGAGGTATTTATAAACATAAAAATGGGAGTTGTATATATATAAAAAAGCATTATTAGGTGAATGTTGTTTCTAGGTGCTGGATTTTAATTAAGATTATTATCATTTTGGTAGAAAATCTTGTTTTTTTTTTTAAAACACACACACACACACACACACACACACACACATCTGTAGATACTTTTCCTTATCTGCTTGCTGAATGGATATGTCACTAGCAATACTCCAATAGCAATGGGCACATCAAACTAGAGATACTCACTTCTAAACATCCTCCAAGGAAAGGAATCAGGACATCTTTTACTAACTCCTGCCTTAGTACAGAGAAAGTGCATAGTGACCTGGAATATCTTTTTGTGCCAGAAAGTAAGAAAGTCCACCAGGAAAAACTGAGCATGTCAGCACCACACCACTACTAGTTCAAACTGCCCAAGCTGGGAAAGTTTCAGCATTAAAATAATGATACTAATGGATATAGCCCACTGAATACCCCAAGGATCATAGAGTCCATGATGATATAAGTCAATGACTGATGAAAGAGAACACAAAGGATGGCTAGCTTATGTCTCAAATGGACTGAGATTCAGGGACCCAGTAATATGTTTAAGCATTGTGAAGGTATTTCTGGTATGTGTGAGATAGACCTGAGGTTATAAGAAAATGGCAGAAGGAACATGAAGTTATATGTGGCAAAATTTAGTGGCATGATCTCATTAGGCAGAAGTTCTCCATTTAATATTGTAGTTTGGGAAGTTAGGAAATTTTGCTTCCTAATGGTTTAGCTGGTCCCTAATGGTTTTAGTTTCTAAGGTAGTTTTTTTGTTTTTTGTTTTTTGTTTTTTGTAACGGAACTGACAATCTAAGTATGAATTTACTTTATCTAGATACAAGGTTTTTCTGCCAAGAATTTCATATGTGGACTTAGAGAATGACTTATCCATTATGGTGCTCAATACAGCACAGATGCTTATGATTTTAATTTGATATTTCGATTTGAATGGACATAGGGTATCCATGCATTTGCTTAAATATTGTTCTGAATTTCTGTAAGCATTAGGACATCCAAATCAGAAAAATTAGAATTGCAGATAACTCTCCTTGATGTTGATGGGACATATCCAATGCTTAGAGACTTCCATAGAACAAAACAGGCAGAGTGAAAAAGAATCCACTGTTTGTCTACACTCAGATTTGAACATTGGTCTTCTCCCATCTTTAGACTCAGACTTTGATTAAACCTACATTATTGTTCTTCTGGATGCAGATCTTTAGATTCCAACTAGAGACTTCACCATCCTGTTTCCTGACTTTCCAGACATCCAGGCCTGGAATGGAGCTGTATCAGTGGCCCTTCTTGGTTTCCAGCTGGCTTCATGTAGATCACAGGACTCCCAAACTCTATAAATGTATGAACCATTTTAAAATCATAAACATCTTTCTATTTATCTATATCAATGTCTATATATTTATCTAAATCTATCTATATAGATGTAGATAAGGGGACCATATACCTGGGCAAGATTGATTTTATCTCTTTAAAAGAGATGAAACTAATAAAGAGGAAAGTCCTCCTTAATATAGAATGCTCATTAATAAACAGAGTTTAGGAACACTCACAATAATAGCATTCTCAGAAGAAATTTCTTAGAAGATGCTAAAGCTTGTAATTGGAGATTAGATGTTGAAAACATATTAAGATTATCTTGCACTCTTTTCCTCCCAAATACCTGTCAATTGCTAAGGGAGAAAATTACAGTCAGAGTTATCATCAGTGCTAGTAGAATGAGTAGACATTCTGCACCTCTGTGATGCCATACACTGAGAAAAAAATGGCATCACTTCTGTAGTATTGTTAAGACAACAAAATCTAAACGGAGTCCCAAGGAAGGAGCAGATGGGCACATGGTGTGGAGTACTCAACTGATTTGCCAGTTTCACTATTTTAACCCATCGTGGTCTCGTGTAAGCTGCAGAACAATCAAAGGATTGTTTTGGGTTGAGAAAAAGTGACTTTGAAAGATTTGACTACAAAATATAACTCATGATTCCCTTTGGAAGTTGGAATACAATGCAAAAGAGACACCGTTGATGCAATTGATGAATCTGGTGTGGTCTGTTGATTGGACAGTTGTGTTGTGTCAGCTTCGCTGGATGGATCCATCTGGTTATGAAGACATGTGTTGTTATTATTGGCAAAGCTAGACAAAGCCCGAATAAGTGTAGTTGAGTGTTAACAGTGAAGAACTTGGGTAAGAAGTACTTCTTCATATTGTCACTATATTTTTCTGTCAGAATTATTTCAGGATAAATTATGTCAAAAGATATTATTAGGAGTTTGCATTTCCTGCCATAATTTCCTAACATGCTACCACATTAATCTATATTGTTACTTATTTTCACATGTCTCCCCTTGTCCCACCAGGAAACCAGTCACGTCTTCATCCAAAAGTTTCAGACACCACTTTCAAGTAAACAAACAAAAAATGCAACTAGATTCTTAGCAAATTATGAATGTTTATGCAAATCCTTCTCCATTGTGTAGTCCCTGAATCTGAGAAGAAAATGCAACATAATTGCATCCAAGTTTTTATTCTCAACATACAAGTTGGTTTCTTTACACACCTTTAATAGAAATATTCCAAATATTAGGGGGTAGAGTATGACCAAGAATACCTATAAATAAAAATCATTGTTGTTATGAAAGCATGCCACTGAGTCAAAGAACCTAGCTTCAAAAATCAAGAACCTAAATATAGAAAATTATCACACTTTCTCAGATGCCCATAAGACTAACACTGGTGATGTCCAGTGGCATTTGCCATGGCCACAAAAATTTTCTTCCAGAAATGTACATTCAATCAATCCTTGTGAAACTACAATTCTCCAAACCAAATTAGAACCCTGTTTTGGTAACAATGAGAACATTCACCTTTAGAATGTTTTACAGAGACTCAACTAGGAAAGATCTAGGAAAGGAAACAGCTTTACTCAACAGGAGATTCTCCATGAGAATCATGTTGTGATTCAGCCCATACCAATCAAGAAGATGGGTAGGACTGAGTGAGGAACTTTACCCAGTTGTTCACAGATGTCTTTAAAAAAGTTAAAATGGATTAAAAGCTAGACAAACTCACAATCATATTTTGTCACTGGATCATATTATACCTAAGACTGCACCAAATATTTTTTAATTTCTAATCCTTAAAAAGGGAAAAGTAAAAGAAAGAAAAGAGACATTGGCATAGAGTCTAAAGCATTCTTTCTCTAAGTGGTGCACATTTTCTTCATAGTTTCTCTAACATTTTTACAATTGGGAAAGCACTAATAACTATGTATTACAGCCTAACCCCTTCTAAGGTTTTCCCAGGACTGGCCTGACTTAATGCTTCACGGCACATGAGTGTGTGTGTGTGTGTGTGTGTGTGTGTGTGTGTGTGTGTGTGTGCGCGTGCGCGCGCCATTGTTAACAAGTCAGAAGCACTGGACAGAAAAAAAAACCGTGTCCCATTCCTTCTTCTTTTCCAAAACAAAGGAGCAAATGTCACTGGTAGCTGACATTTAAATGTCTATGTTTTTCTATTCTCTTTAGGGTGTATTATACAAGACACAACAAATGTTTAAAAGAGACTCAGACAACAATAGTCTTATCCAGAGGTTGGCAGATTAGTTGGTAATGATGGAACCCCAATGATGTGTCATGTGGCCTTAGATCCACAGGCAGGTTCTTACCTACCTCTGTTAGGGTTGTTTCATGAAGGGGCTGGTTTTGCTGACTGGATAGGGCACAGAGAACAGACGGTCTGAATTTCCATCTGAGGAGGACTATCTCTTTTAAAATAGTTACTACATCAGGTAGCAAGGCATTTATGTGCCTGTCTGTCTTACCCAGAGGAATTCATGAACATGGCAGCAACCTACTGACTTTTTTATATAAAGCAAGTTTGTGTGATTATAGCAAAAGGTATTGGGTAAAATATAAGTGAAAGGCTAGGAGTAAGAAATAAAAGTGGATGCTTATTCTTTTTTTTTTTCATACTTGAGAGAGATTTTATTTTTTAAATTACATTTTTATTTAATTTTTTCATACAACTTATTTGATCATTTGGTCTCTTCTCCTACAACTCCTCCTAGGATTTCCCCATTCTTTTAAGGCACCTTCAACTACGCAATGATTAAAGGAGCTTTGATTGGACAATCCTAGCATGCAATGGTCCCGATGTTGGTGGCACAATGCTTTCCTGCTGAATGAAATCTAGATCATCATGATCAATAATAACCTTTATAGTATGGCCATTGTTGTTTAGATAAATAGCAAACTCTAACCTTGGACAGGTAAACAGAAACACATTTTGACATGCCCTCAGCTTTCCAGAAAGACTAGGCATTTATGGAAATAGGATCTTTGCTTAAAGAGGTTCATTTTTCTATGGCCAGTGGAAAGATCATAAAGTTTAGTTTGAGAATCCCATTCAGCTGGGCTAAACTAGCTTCATGTACCCACAGCCACACCAGCCACTATTGATGAGGTATAGTAATAAATAAAAAGTTTACACATTTATAAAAATCCTTCAGAAGAATGGAGGTAAACATTTTTTTTTTTTTTGTAAATTACAGAGCAAATTTCTAGGAGTAAACAATCAAGTGTTCCCTTCACCACAGTCCTCTATTTATCCCCATAACATTACCATTATTAAAAACATTAAGTTCTCAGCACCTAATTACACAGGGCTCTTAGCTGTGTGCAGAGTTAGAGGGCCAACTCCTGTCCTTTAGGGGTTTCAAATATAAAAACATTTTTAAAAAGTAGAAAGCACAATCTACGTTGAGAACACCAGCCATGTTAATAAGCCAAAGGCCATTCAGAATTTCTCTAAAGCTGTTCCCATGGCGACGCAGAATTTATATTGCCTCTTAAAGGATATGTAGGATTTAAATAGAGGATATAGAATTTTGGCGTGATGAGGGAGGAAGCAGTAAGAAAGGTAAGTCAAGGATTATCTTTGAGGCAGAGTGAAGAAAAACACACTAATGAGGAAGGGTAAAGTTCCTTTTGTCAATACTGACTGGGACTGTTTCACCAGAGCAGGGTTATCTTGTAGGTGAGCAGGAAAAAACGAGCCAACAGGAAGGGTTACAGAGGACACTGAATTCCAGTTGAAGAGTTTGAACTTTATCCTTCACTCACAAATGTCACCAGAAGAGACATTTCACCAACAAAGGAGGAAAACCACAGGCCATGGAGCATTTACTAAGGCTGAAGTGGCGACCTTGGGCCACCCTTTTATACAACATAAATAGCGCGCTCTCTCTCAATAGCTGCAGAATCCTCCTCTGTTTGTCACAACTGGATATTGATCGAGTGGCCACTTGTGGCAAGGCCTCTTGGGCATGCCTTCTGAGCCCTCAAGTTGGAAATCTCTGAGCAGACATTCCCAACACTTTGAGGAAAACCAAGGCAGTCATAAATAGCATCGATTCAATTTGCATAGTGCCTTTCCTTCCAAATACTTCAAGTACCAAGGAGAGCCTGGCTCTTCCCAGCGAGACCGCGCCAAAACTCACTGAGCAAACTGTTTAAGAGGGATCAAATCCTTGAACTAATGCATCTGTAAACTTTCTCTCTCCCCTACTTGTTACCATTTGTACAGAGCATTGCCCCAGATCCAGAAAGTGGCCTGAAGCAAAAGATCTCCAAGTCAGGAGTAGAAGCCAAAAGGCCGCCTGTGGCAAGTGTTGTCTGTCCCTGAGTCTCTACAGGACAACTGGGATCAGAATATGTCTCATTAACTCTTGGCTGACAACTCTGGCCCAAAGGAAATGAAGTATCTTTTAAAAAACTGTTACTGTAAATTGTCAGTTTGTATCTGTATATGCTTAACAGGGTAAAAGTGATAATATGATTTCTGAGTATAATATGGAGTAATTAAGATAACATAGCCACCACTTCTGTATTTTTTGTGACAAGAATATTTAAAATTTATTCCTTTCTATTTTAGTATCTGCAATGTGTTATTTTCTTCCATGTTTACTGCATTATACAACAGAAAATACTTTTTCTCCTTGTCTGAGACTATGTAATTTGGCCATCACCTCTCCATTTCCATCATCTCCCAGAATCTGTAACCTCCATTCCATTCTGCTTCTGTGACTTCTATTGTTTTAGGTTGTAGATGTAAGTGAGAGCATTCAGCATTTGTCTTCCTGTCCCTGGTTTCTTTATCTTAGCATAATTTTCTCCATCCATATGGTCAGAAAAGACAGAACTTTCTTTTCTTGATAAATAGCATTCCATTATTGGGTATGCACACCATTTTCTTTATTCATTCACCTACCACAGACAATGTCATTTTGTAAATTGGTGATTGTAAACAGTGCTACAATGAACTTGACAGTATAGAGACATCTCACTGACATACTGATTTCAGGCCTTTCAGTTAATACCCAGGAATGGGTTTTCTGGATCATACAGAAATTCTACATTTAGTGTTTTAAGGGACATCCATGGGGTTTTCCTTAATGGCTGCATTCATTTAAATGACCAAAAACCATACCCAAGTGTTCTTTTTTCTCCACCCTCTTGCCCAGACTGGTATCATTTTTCACAAATGGCCATTCTGAAAGATGTGAGATGACAACTCACTGTGATTTTAATTTGGGCTTCCTGATGATTGGGGGTGCTGAGCATTTTTCATATATCTGTGGACTGTTTGCACGTGATTTTTTTTTTGGCACAATGTTTATTATCAGGTTACTTTTTTATTTTTTCATTTAATAGTTATCTTGCTATTGTTTGTATTTTTGGATATAAACACCCTATATATAAATGGATTGCAAGTATTTTATCCTAATCTATGGGTTGCATCTTCTCATTTTATTGTTTTCTGTGCTGGCAGAGACTTTCAGTATGATGTAATCCCTTTTTTTGCTTTACTGTCTGTCCTTCTGGGGTCACATCTAGAGTTTCTGACTGATAAGCCAGCTGGCAGTACTGGCAAGCAACTTTCACTTCATAAATTGAACCGAGGACTCCCTATAGTTCTCCGCTCTTCATACACAGAAAAATCAGTGTTTCATTTCAGTACCTGAAATGGCAATCTACCTTAGGCGTGAGAACAACTTCTAAGATAAGACATTCAAATAGAGTGCACATAACTTCATTTCTCTATATAAAACATGATAATTCAAACTGTATCTCTTAGCTGAGTAAGAATTCAAAATAAAGAAAATGCAGCTGATGGTCACAGTAGCACGTGACAAAAGGGCTAGGACACAACTCCCCTGGAGAGGTGATACTGACCAAGGCGAAGGGAAATTTCAGGTCATCTGTCATGGTAACCCATATCCTGTATAGTCTGGCTAATGTGTTTTCAGCCATCGTGTGTTATTTTGGACACAAAGCATCTACCCCCTAAGGCTCAAGTTTTGAAGATTGCTTCTAGGTGGGTGGCACCATTGAGATCATGAGACTGGGTCATGAGAGTTCTCACTTCATCTCTGGTTTCTGTTTGCAATGACTTCTGGCCTCCCGTACTATAAAACAAAAACTTTCTATTGCATTAAACCATTCTCTTTATCAATAACCAGTAGGGGATAAATATATCAGTACAATAAGGTAGTGGTTTAGTGCCCTGTGGGAGAGACAGTCCACAGAGGGCAGAACTTTAAAGCTCTTTTCAGAGGAGGCAGCTTTATTTGGAGCAGACTATGAGGAAGTTCATGCCTAAGGACACCCTTGGATGAGGATACCAAAAGTCAACAGTTAAGGAGAAAGTTCAAGTTCTGTGAAAGCAATAAGCTGAGCCTTAGGCCATCTAGCTTATCAGAGACTGAAAAGGAGAGCCAGCTAAAATCCTCAAAATTATTTTCAATAGTTACACACTCAAAAATATAATTTGGCCTAGCTTTGGTTGTTACTGAAAAATAATAGAACAAATCAGTAGTTAATATCTCAGTATGCTAATAGTTAACAACACATTATTAACTATGGTGAAAGCTTGAATATTTTCTTCCTATGATCAGCCATGCCTCCTCTTCCTTCCTTAAAAATTGTAAGTTCAAAGGTTACTGTCAATAAGATGAAAAGAGAACCCACAAAAAGAGAAAAATGCTTTTGCAAAACATAGATTTGTAAGGGACTTACGGGTAGAATACCCAGTGAAGTCTTTCTTAAGAAGAAAAGGACAACTCAGTTAAAATGGGCAAATGATCTAAATACAGAGCAGGTAAATACAGAACAGACATTGTATATATGAAAAGTTGCTCCATATGATTAGTTACCAGGGGCTGTAAATCAAGAATACAGTGAGATATATCAATCCTAAGAAGATAGTAGCAATCCCGGTAAAATATTACTGGTAAGTGTTGGTGAAGATGTGAAGTTAGCACCTTTGGTTACTATTGAAAAGGAAGCCAATAAATGGTATATTTTTGGGAAATAGGCTACCAGTTTACAAAAAGTTAAAGTTAAAATACCAAAATTATATTCTTAAGATATATTCCAAAGGAATTAAAACATGTCTTAATAACAGTATGTACATGAGTATTCAGGGAAACATTGTCTATAATAGTCCCAAATTAGAATTATCTCACATATCCATCAGTAGGTAGATTAATAAAAATAGTGTATTTGCAAAGTGGAATTTGATCTGTTAACATAAAAACCTACTGATACATGCAATAAATTGATTGAACCTTAAAAACACTGCTGAAAAGAAGCGACTTCAATCATGCACTGTATGAGCCTATTCATGCAAAATGTCCACATCAGGTAAATCTATGAAGACAGAACAGAGAAGTAATTTCTTAGGACTGGAAACACTCAGAAGAAAAGAAAGGAGTTGATGCCTGGTAGTGGGTATGTTTTTTTTTTTTCCAGAGGTGATACAAAATATTTAAGAATGGATTGTGGGTACATGGCTTCACAATTCTGAATACATAGTGTCATTGGACTGGTAACCTTACATTGATAAATTGTATTGTGTAGGAACCATATTATGACAAAGGTTTGTTTTTAAAAATAAGACAACAGGGCTGAGGATGTAGAACACTTGCCTATCATGCATGGGGCCCTGGCTGAATTCAGTCCCCAGCACCACAAAACAATGAACAAAAAATTGAAATTACTCCTGCTATGAACAAAAACTAAGGTAATGTTCTCTTGCTACTGCCTCCATTAGTAGATTTTCAAATCACATTTTCCTATGTTCTAAACATCCATGAGACTAGAGGCTCCCACAGTGATAAAATAGAGTAATAAAAAGCCATGACCACTTTGCACTGCAGAGGGATTTTCTTTCATGTACTTTATTTAGTTTTTCTAGGTAACTTTGAAAATGCTAACAAAATGCACCACGCTGTTTAAAATGTCTGAACCATACTGGTTTGTGGTATAAACTTCAAATACTGGCTTTAACACATGAACTCTTTCATGTGTGTGGATGCAGTGCATGTGTTCGTGCACACGTGTTTGCAAGGATGAGTGTGTGGAGGTCAGACATCAATAGCAGGTGCCTTCCATTTTTTGCATTCCATCTCACTTTTGAGTCAAGGGTCACCTGCTGATCCTAGAGCTCACCTGTTCAGAGATTGGTTGTCTAGCAAGCTCCTAGGCGTCTCACGTCTTCTCCTACACGACATTCTGCTCTAGGCAAATATTTGACCAATTCTGCCTTCTCCATAGTCCTTGCTATATGAACTCTTTAAACGTGTCTCAATTTAACATCATCGTCTTATTTCTTTCCAGGCATTATCCATATCGACAGTCATGCAAAAGTATCCATTGCCATGACCTGAGATCAAGATTCATTGCTTGATGGAAAGGCAAAGGGGAGTTTTGTTGATATGCAAAGCCAAGGTGTTAGGGGGAAATGGAGCATAGGTTTCCAGATAGACAACAAGCAGTACCTGACAGAACATGCAGACAAAAAATAGTGGTTTGTGTATGGGGGGTGGGAGGGACAGAAGGGATGGCTTAGCAGTTAAACATGAATACTGCTCTTGCTGAAGAACCCAGTTGAGTTCCCAGAAACCACCTTGGGGGACTCATAGCAGTTAACAGCCTGTCACTTCAGCTCCAGGGAATCTCGTACCCTCTTCTGACATCCACGGGCACCCACAGTAACAAGTACAAAAACCCCACCACCCCACATACACATAATTACAAAGGAAAATAAATCTAAGAATACAAAATAAATAAATTAAATATGATTGGGAAAGAAAGTTAAAATTAGACACATGCCAGTCAGATTTGTAATGGTACTTACAATGAAGCCAGTAGGGACACAAAATGAGGTGATGCTGAAATATTGTTCCTGAGAGAAATATGGAGTTAATATCGGGTAGACTTCTCATACATTTTCTTCACCCAATCAACACAAGCTTCATTTTATATATGCTTTTGTTCAAATAGATGCAATTTTATATACACTTTAGATCCATTAATATCAAACTTGTAACTAGACACAGCTTATCTGAAATATCTACCTATCTACCTACCTATCAATCAATCAATCAATCGATCTTCTATCTACCTACCTATCAATCTATCTATCTATCTTTCTATGTATGTATGTATATATGTATGTATCTATCTATTTTTCTATGTATCTATCTATGTATCTATGTATCTATGTATCTATGTATCTATCTATCTATCTATCTATCTATCTATCTATCTATCTATCTAACATTTATCTATCATTCGCCTATCTATTCTCTGTAAGGCACATCCCAGCCTTTTCTACTTATGAACACTACTTAGCACAGCTATCTTACCTTAAAACCTGTTTTAAAGAGTGAAATCAGCAACATAAAAGCACAAATAGATAGAAAACATATCACTAAATTGGTTGAATATGAAAAGCACAGGTGACTGT